AGTCAGAAAATAAAGTACTTCAAATTATTGAAACACAACTCACAAAATTGTACTAAATTAGTCGATTTTACTGTAATGATGAACAGTCTTCAAGAAACAAATTTGAACAGTCTTAGTGATTTACTTTTATTATTGAGTGTATTCACAAGCAAGAAGGAAGAATATCGTGAAAGAGTTGTCAACTACAAGCTTTCAGATACTAAGTCAAAACATCAACATACATTTTCACAAATGGTATTCGAATTAATTGATAATTATAGATTCGTGTTAATACAAGTTCAACTAGTACATAGAATATTATATCCTAAGGACAACATGAAGAAAATTTCCGAACAAGATATCGCGTGGTTGAGTAAGAATTTGGGTATTATGATCACCTTAGTTAATGATCCGGCCTATACTAATGTTCTTTATTTGATTAGGTCACTCTCTAGGTCGGTTGCCTTATTAAGAACATTCTTCGTTGATTGCAACTCAATTGTTAGTGAGATTGATATTGAAAATTCAGGTGATATTGCTAGATCAAGATATGCCAGAGATAGAAATTCATCAAGTGGTGGGTTTATAAGTAATATTTTGCAAATTCTTAAGGGAAATGAAATCTCTAGTAAGCTTATTCAGTTTTTCTGTAATTTCAATTCTGAAGAAGATACAGGAAAGGAGCTTAATAAATCACAGATGCTCAATAAATCTATTACTTTAGGGACAATTGCAAACTTTGTGCTCGATTTTAGTTCATTCCGTTATAATATAGTTAATGATGAAGGATTTTTAAAGAATTTATCGGTCATTTATAAAAACTCGTCAGTTGCAAACTATGGGACATCTACAGGAAAGGCCGACGATGAAGAAATGTTCCAGAAAAATACAATCCAATTAAGTATTTTACAAATTTTGAAGAATTATATGTACAATGAGAACCAAGAAAACAAAAAGGAGTTAATTGAATATTTTCCAATATCGATATTATTCGATAAAATAGTTTATGGGGTAGCAAAATCTGATAGTATATATGGCCATGATGTTGGCAGCGAAAGTGAAGAAATCAAGGGCTTGAAGTTGCAACAAAAGATTGTGGCGTTTGATATTCTAAGAAATTTGACAGCAGGGTCACCATATTTCAGTCAATATTTAATCGATGCTTATGACAATAAGTTGGATGATGATATCAAGAAAGAAGATAAGCTCCCCATGAGTTGGGCGGATTTTGTTATTGAGAATATAACAAATTTTGAAAATTTTGAACGGGACCACGAGAAAGTAAATCTAAACGAAGAATTGTTTCATGATGATTCTTTCTTGTTGTCATTGATGGATAATAATGACTACGTGTCATTGATTTTGGCCATTAACTATATCGAAGATCATAAGTTTACGAATATAGAACAGTTTAGAGAAAGATTACTTCCAAAGGAATCGCTTTTGAAAGTGTGGAAGCGGTTTCTTAATCTCACTGTGACGGAGGAGTTCGAAAGCCAGTTGGATTTGAATTCGAAGATTAATATCAACAATAACTTAAATTCAATCAAGCTAAGCATTGTGTGGATCATGATTAACCTAACATGGAAAAACGATGTGTTTGAATACACGTTCCCTGGGGCAGATAATGACACCAGAAGAAGTAGTGGTGATCATTACCGAATCTATGATACGGTAGAAAGTTCGCCCAACAGGAGAACCAGCTCAACGAATGACCGAATTGACATCGACAATTCGGACGATTCAGACAACGAGAAGAAGGAGATGAGTGACGACAACGAAAGCAACCCCAACCCTAATAACCACAGCGATGCCACGAGTAACCTCACAGTGGGGGAGTCGGACGAGAAAATCACGACGCCTACCGAACGAGCAAAAATCTTAAAGCAGTATGGGTTCCTCGAGGTTCTCGATAACCTCATTGGACAATTGGGTAACTACGAAAAGAGCAATAGAAACAACTTAGAGAAAGGATACACAGGACAGCGATTCGACTACTTTATGAGCAACGACTTGCTCGAAAAGATCAAAACTGCCCGATACCAGATTTTTTCGTTAGAGTCTGGGGGCCATATTAGCTTCAGGCCCAGACAGTCAAGACCCAGCCAGCAGCTTGATCGCAACATCACGCAGCAACGAGCCACGCCGGCAACCACTAGCAATAGTGCTGCTGTTACAGCTGCTGTGCTTGCAGCAGCAGGGGCCGGTTCCGGGGCCAGTGCAGTACCCAGGCTAGTATCGAGACCCGACGTGAACAGAGGCGGTGAAGGCTACGGATATGGGTCCGACGATGATTTCACCGACGTTTCGCCGATTGCACCCATTGAGGCCCACCCCAACGATGATGACGACATGGAAAACGACGACGACGACGACGATGATGACGACGACTCAGTCGATGAAGATTGGATCCATTGATCGCTTATGTATTCACCAGTGCGCCAATCGATCGTCAATGTCCCGTGTCTCCCAGATCTATGTTTACGCTATTATTTGGGCAGTATCATACATACATATCTAGCTAATAGGAAGTATTCGCAGATCTTGTGCACATGTTCCATCCAACTCATCTCGAGCCCAACATTATGCATATGTCCATATATGCCTCGGTACCGGCGTTCAGCAAGATTTCCGCACCGTTCCGCAAGAATATGTCGGTTGACTCGCACCCACAAGTCTTATCGCTTGCGCAACGCTACACCATTAGTATCTTGAGTCGCATTGGGCGCGCCCATATACTATATAGTGCACTATTGTATACTATATATACTCTATACATATACTATATTTTATTCTGTCCAGATCCTCTATATTATCTCATATACTGTATACTATACTATAGTATATATATATATTATCATACATATACACTACACTATCCTATTCCCTACACTATACCTGAACCTTAATACTCCGCGCGATTTCCTTATGCATCCTACAGACATGTACCCTTTCACCTCTACGACCTCTACCGCCGTCTATTACCCTGCTTCCACCTCTTTTCGTCTATAAAACAATATAACCACAAGCCCAATCATGTAGTACAAGCCCAAATAAATGCATCACAAGCTCAAATAAACGTATGACTTATGTATCACAGCCAATGTGATGTATCATTAGTGATGTATCCTATTGTGACGTATCACTATGTGACGTATAACCGCCGACTAAACGCAAAAAAAAAAGAAAATTTTGGTAATTATATGCAGTTGCGATAGTTTTGTTAGTGCCCATATTTACTTAGGCGTATTCTGGTATTTACACGGGTCCTTAAACGCTCACAGCGGAAAAAACAGAACAGTGATGTAATCAGAAGAAGGTCAATTTTGTTATTATCAGTTCTTTTGGCAGGAATATTGTATTGTCGGTGATTATAGCGATAATTATACACAGTTTATTAGTAGAAAGTGATCTAGCTGAATTTTGAGCGGATTTTTGATAATACGAAACAGACAGATTCACAAAAAGGTACTCAGTGTTTTATTGGGACAGCTGTGAGAAGATGACGTCGATGGAGCATAATGAGACCAGCACCAAGTCGCTAAACGATATATCGCTAGAGGAGTTGAGTAAGAGACAGCAGCAGCAGAATATATACGTGCAACCGGTTTTGGGGTCGCAGACGGACGATAACCGCATGAGCATCGACAAGCAGAGCGACGGGAATGCAGGGGACGAAGAAATGGGCCTGATGGCCAGAGGAGGGCCAGGAGACACGGGAGAGGATAAGAATGGGGGAATGGGGACTGCGGAAAGCTCGAAGACGCTGTCGCAGACGGACTTGACGAAGAAACCGTCGAGACATGGCGACCGTGATACGACAACCAAGGGCAAGTACACATTGAACGACTTCCAGATTTTGCGGACGTTGGGTACCGGGTCGTTTGGCCGGGTGCACTTGACACGGTCGATCCATAATGGACGTTTCTACGCCATGAAGACGTTGAAGAAGGAGCGGGTGGTCAATATGAAGCAAGTAGAGCATACCAACGACGAGAGACGCATGTTGAAGCTCGCCCAGCACCCTTTCATCATCAGGATGTGGGGCACTTTCCAAGATTGCCATAATTTGTTCATGATCATGGACTATATAGAAGGGGGCGAGTTATTCTCGCTCTTGAGAAAGTCCCAGAGATTCCCGACGCCAGTGGCCAAGTTCTACGCCGCCGAAGTCTTTTTGGCGATCGAATACTTGCACGAGTTGGATATCATCTACCGTGACTTGAAGCCCGAAAACATCTTGTTGGACAAAAATGGGCACATCAAGTTGACTGACTTTGGGTTTGCAAAAGAAGTCAGCGACGTCACATACACATTATGCGGAACCCCCGACTACATAGCCCCAGAGGTGGTGGCAACTAAACCTTACAATAAATCGGTAGACTGGTGGTCGTTTGGGATCTTGATCTTTGAAATGCTCACTGGTTACACGCCATTTTACGACCCAACCCCAATGAAAACTTATGAAAATATATTAAATGGTACAATCACCTATCCTGATTATTTGCCGCCGGATATTTTGGATTTACTCCAAAAATTGATCGTCAAGGATTTGTCCCAAAGACTAGGTAACTTGCAAGATGGTTCTGATGGAATAAAGAACCACCCATGGTTTAAGGAAGTTATCTGGGAAAGATTGCTTTCGAGAGACATAGAGACCCCTTATGAACCCCCTATTACATCGGGTATTGGTGATACTTCTCAATTCGATAGGTATCCCGAAGATAAAGATTTGGATTACGGTATCAGTGGTGTTTCTGACCCGTATAGTTCCATGTTTGGCGACTTCTAATCTCATCCCTTGAGCGGTTAGCGTGATAGACTTTATGTTGCGTTTTTGTACAATAGATCTTTTTATCGTTTTTATTTCCAATCATGATCATTTTCCATCCCCTATGGATAAATTTATATTACACATTTTCATTCATTTATCATACTTTTGTTTATTATGTCCTGGTAATTTACAACCTGTCTATATTTATTTTTCATACAGAATATTAATAAACAGTATATACAGTTATCTAACTAATGCAATCATAGCAATTGTATACCGATGTCATCCAGTCACCTCTTATAAATTCGTCCGCGGATAACCTGGATTCAGGATTTGGATCTAATAATTTATATATGAACATTTTACGTAATTCACATAGTTGTAATTCATCCTCATCTAATTGGCACTCGAAGTATCCAGTGCCTTCGTCATCTTCATCCTTCGGAATTACAAACAAGTTTTCGACAGGTCTAAAACTACCTTCCCTTTTGATTAACCATTCTTTTGTCGTATTGTCATAATCCGCTATCATTCTATTTTTCGTATACTCTTCAAATACCTTATCCCTATATCTCTTTTCCTCGTTTTTCTTCAAATGATGCATTTTCATATCCGTGCATTGCCATAAGTATCCTGAGCTATATTCATTAAAAATCCCACTATATTCAGCAGGCTTGTCAGTATTACCATCTAATTTATTATGCGTAAAATACTGTTTACTAATATTAAACAATACTAGTATTACAATTCCTAATGACCAGTTATCTTTACTTTTCGCCGAATAACCCCCAACTTTATGCAACTTGCCGAGATGTTCTTCTGGTGCCATATATGATTCTGAACCAATAGGCCCATTTGCATAAGGAATTAATTGTTCTTGTTGGTCCCATTTAGTTTTGAAGACATTCACCTTTCCGAAATCGGATAACTTTAAGACAATTCTAGTTCTTAATGGATCTTGTGGATCTGGTGGTAAATAATTTACTAAAATATTTTCAAGTTTTAGGTCGCAATGAGCCACTCCATGTTGGTGCATATACCATAATCCTTTCGAAATTTGTTTAATAAAGCAATCTACTTCATCAAGTGATACACTTCGTACGGGTTGGTTTCCTTTATCAGTAGTAGTTGTCATATATGTAAACAAATCACCACCTGTTGTACATTCCATAACCTGATTGATCTTTATACATTGACTAAGTTCAGTAGCACCTTTCTTCGAATCGACCGGTGGTAATGTGACCATCAAATCTACGGTCTTCACTATGTGCTTATAGTTCAAGGTTGATGATACAATGAATTCAGATATCACTCTATCAATAAATTGTTTTTGAGTCTCCTTTTGTTTTACCTCTGTTCCAGGACGCCTTTGCAACTCTTTCACAGCGTAAAATACATTTCCAGGAGCGATCTTTGTTGTTGACTTGAGAGTTGCGTCTGTTGCATTAGGATCAATGATTTTAATTAACCCATAGGCGCCTCTACCTATTATATCTCTAACCACCCCATATCTGTCATAAACAGTTTTACCATTGCGCAAACGTTGAATCAGGGCGGACGCTAAATCTTTCAGACTTAGCAGTTCGTCAAGCTTTATCTGTAATTTATCAATTAGCGCTGCTTGTTCATCCCCAATGACCGATTCAGTCAATTTTGGATCCTTTCTGTTTGACGTCCCCGATAAGCGATGTATTTTCATATTTTGGTCGAGTAACGAATATGTCCTTTTCAGCTCTTCGTTTGCAAGTGCCGCTAATGTTTCTGGATTAGTCGCCGTTGATGTTATCCCACAGTAGCCCATTATACTCGATAACTGCGATACGAGATTGCTCTGGATCGAAAGACTCTTTCCTCTAATCTTAATGGCATGCATATGTTCTTCTTCATAATCACTATCATCCGAATCAGAACCGGAATCAAAATCATTCAGCCCACTAGAATCATACTCTGAATCAAAACCACTGTCTGCATTGCGATTTGCTTCGTCCACATCAGCTTCTACGATGGTACTGGTTCTCTTATTAAGTCGTTGATTCCGTATTTCCTCTCCCAGTGAATCTTCATCTAATTTAAATTTCTGTAGATCCTGTCCAATTTTGTCAGTCGATGAATTCTTCGGCTTTAGAAAGCTCTTGAGTTTATTCTTGGGCTTTCCAGCTGCAGATACTTGCCCAGACGACATCGACGCATTCGAAAGCTCCAAGCCGAGCAGCTCTGAAGCACTGGATAATGGTGGCGATAAAGATGTTTTCTTACGTTTTGAATGTCCAAAAAGTGGCATCACCGTTATTTGTCAGACAGTACTTCTGTCGAGCCGTGAAAGCTTAGAAATACAACTTCCCGGTCCTGTCATTCTGTACAATCATGGAATATGGTCACGTGTGTGTGGCCTATTATTTCATTCGGATAATCTTAACATGCACCATCACCACCGATTATATGGTTGTTGTGCTAAGATTTTAGCGTCCATATTGTTATTGCCACTTCGTCTACAGAGGTATCAATGCTCCACGTCACTTCTCGTCTTGCAATGGGTCTCATAGGTCGACAATTATCTCGTTTATACCGTACAACTGCGAACATTTGCTACTCATTTCGGACCACCCATACACAGACATCCATCTCCAGATCGTATATTACGTGGGCCACGATTTCTAGACACCCCCAATCTTACTTCGGATACTCCTGAAGTCTATATAGACATGAAATTACGTGATTTTTGGCCTGTATATAAGTCAGTGATGTTGCAGCCGTCCGTTCCACTTTCTTCTGCCGCTAGAGACCTATATAGCGTTTTAGCGGCGTATGTGGCTAGCATCCTTCGTTAGCGTGCATCAAAAAGTGTCTCGCTTCACAACACACGCCCAAACCAATGGTAGTACGTATTCTCCTCGTCGTCAAACAAATACGAGCTAGTCTACTCTTGTTGTGATGTATCCGATTAAGGTACAATCCGGCTATTTTGAACTTCAAAGCCACCGTTATCTGCTGGTCCGGCCATTTGCTACCGTGGCTCCCTTCAGTCCATCAACTAGTTTCATCTACAACCCAATCTATTCCAAAACCCTTCACTTGTTTCAATTAGCCGCCCGACCAATTTGCTCAACCCAGTTCCCCAAACAGCAAAAAAAAACTCGTACATTCCGTTGATTGATTGCGTCTCGTGAATCTACAACTTCCATGTGAGGCATACTACTTGCTTTCGACGTCTAATCCCCCTAATTCTAGCCTCCACATTGTTCTTAACATGGAATACACAAAAACGCGTAATCATAGGAGGATTTTTGAAGCGAATCCTAAGATATTTTCTATGGAGTGAAATTACACAAAATGACGAAATTCTTCCACCTCAAAGGAAATTTGTTTCGTAGGTGTAAGAGAATCATACACGAGCCAAGGTCATATACCATTAGATTCTAGTATAAGTGAACATTTGACAAATATAGAGGTAATAGAGCTATAGGATATCATTCACGAAGCTCCTTCAAACTGTAAAGCCAGAAAATAGAGATCAATGACGAGCATTTATACATCAGACATAAAGCATCATAGAAAGGCGCCTCCACCTCCATCCACGTCTAATGCTTTCAGAAGCAACAGCAGTAGTTCTGCCAGCAGTTCTAGTAATGATAAACAATCGATCAAGTTGAATATAAACTCGAATAAGAGGCAATCGGGGTGGGTACATATTAAGGACGATGGGATTTTCACGTCTTTCCGGTGGAATAAGCGATTCATGATTATAAACGATAAGACGTTAAATTTCTACAAGAATGAGCCAACCAATTTGCATTCGTTCAACGTACCGGACTCCAACCTGGTCAATTCGAACAGTCCTGATTTGTCGTTTCCGTTGAACTTGATCAGTAGTATAAACTTGAAGCCCAACTCGGGGTATACTAAGGCGTCGCAGACATTTGAGATTGTGCCTAAGAACAGTGGGAAGTCGATGTTGATTTCTATAAAATCTAACAATGACTATTTGGACTGGTTAGACGCGTTTACCACTAAGTGTCCGTTGATCAACATCGGAAATGAGAATTCTGCCAACTCGGCCATAATTAATGGTAATACGGGAGTATCGAACCCAATAAACTTCACACATAAAGTTCATGTTGGTTTTGATCCAGCGAGTGGTAATTTCACTGGTTTACCAGACACCTGGAAAAATTTGTTGCAACATTCGAAGATCACGAACGAGGACTGGAAGAAAAACCCAGTAGCAGTTATTGAAGTACTTGAATTTTACTCCGATATTAACGGGGGTTCTCCTGGTCTGACTCCAATTAATCTGCCGTCAATCAATAATAATAATAACCATAACAATGATAGCTCAAGTAGTTTACAAGAATGGACAAAGCATCCTTCTAAACAATTGCAAGCTGCTCAACCGCAACAACCGCCACAATTCAAACCCAGTAGAGCAGCTCCAAAACCTCCAGTACCGTATCATTTAACTCAACAAAAATCGCAAAGTAATGTATCCCCATTAAACAATTTATTGCAGAATTCTGAAAAGGCTGATACAAAGAGCGATTCACAAAATGACTTAATACCTGTCAGAAGAGCGCCACCTCCTCCCACTTCAAATAAGCTCAACCTCAATCCTGATAAAAATAATAGTGCACCTAACTTACCTGCCGGTCTAGGTATATCAGGTTCTTCAAATTCAATTCCAAAGCAATCACCCCCTTACTTGCCAAAGCAGAAGGATTTAAAAATTCAAACCCCATCTACTGGCCTCAATAAATATCCATCTCCTCCTTCGAGCGCACCAGCAGCGGGTCCAAGTTATATCAAGCCATTTGGTTTAACTTCCAAACAATCACAATACCTGCAGCAACAATCGCAACTGTCTCATCAAGAACAACAAACCCCTAAAGATGCTGGCACAAAGAATATGACCTCTCCACAAAAGACTGAAGAGACTCCAATCAAACCACTCCAACCTCGTCCTCAAAAACCTCATCAGCAATCGAACCAACCACAACTGCAGGTCAAAAAGGTCTCCTCTCCACAAATGGGGCAAGGTAAAATCAAGAGTGCAAAACAGATCAAGAAAGAACGTGAAAAGTTAAATGAGATGCAAATTATTGCTAAGTTAAAATCTGTTGTTAATAATAATGATCCAACTCCATTATTCAAGATAATTGAAAAAGCAGGACAAGGTGCATCAGGTGCGGTTTATTTGGCAGAAACTAAGAGTACTGGTAAAAAGGTTGCCATTAAGCAAATGGATATGAATGTTCAACCAAGAAAAGAATTGATTATTAATGAAATATTGGTTATGAAAGACTCACAACATAAAAACATTGTGAACTTTTTAGATTCATATTTAAGGGGTTCATCCGATTTGTGGGTTATCATGGAATATATGGAAGGTGGGTCCTTGACAGAAATTATTGAAAACAATGAGTTCAAATTATCAGAAAAGCAAATTGCCACGATATGTTTCGAAACATTGAAAGGTTTGCAACATTTACATAAAAAGCATATCATTCATAGAGATATAAAATCCGATAACGTTTTGTTGGATGCGAAGGGTAATGTTAAAATAACTGATTTCGGATTCTGCGCTAAGTTAACTGATCAAAGAAATAAAAGAGCGACAATGGTTGGTACTCCATACTGGATGGCCCCTGAAGTGGTCAAACAGAAAGAATACGATGCCAAGGTTGATGTTTGGTCATTGGGTATTATGACCATTGAAATGATTGAAGGCGAGCCTCCATACTTGAATGAAGAACCATTAAAAGCTTTATATTTAATTGCAACAAACGGAACACCAAAATTAAAGAAGCCTGAATTATTATCCAATTCGATCAAGAAGTTTTTATCTATTTGCTTATGTGTAGATGTTAGATATAGGGCACTGACAGATGAGTTAATTGAGCATTCATTCATTCAACATAAATCAACCGATGTTGAAGTATTGGCACCTTTGTTAGAATGGAAGAAAAACCCTCGTCCAGACTATAGCGATGACGAAGATTAATCTCTTTCGAGTGCTTATTATATACTTTGTTTATTGAATATAAATAAATAAATTCAACGTTACTAACCAACAGTCAAGTAAAGTTTTTAGGTAAAAGGTTTCACTACGCAGATGTGCTAAAAAAGCGAATTACAAAAATATTTGCGAACTTAAAGCATAAAATTAGATGTTACTTATTAATAGACAATATTTGCTTAATTAAGCTATCCTATTATGATTATAGTAATAGCAATAAATAGTACTATTTATGAAGTTGCAAAACTCACCGAATAAAGTTACAAAAAATTATAGACCAGCTACTAAAGAGAATTCAACCGATGCAATTTAATAATAATAATTCATTACAGAACCTCTCATAACGATTAACCTATTGATTGAAGTGAAAGAAGCGATTATTTTAATGACCAAAATATCATCAAGTTAATTGTGGGTTTTAGTTAGAAGTAAAGTTTGAGCCAGTTAAAAACAGCTGATTAGTATCAGTATTATGAGCTGGGGGATTAGGTTGGATATTAATTGGGTGATCAACTAAATCTTGGCTCAACAGATTCTGCAGTGCTGGAACATAGTTTGAATTAGGATTTGATGCACTTGTGGTAAACCATCCATTACTATTACTGCTGATTGAATTTGTGCCACTCGACATATTGAAGGATCCAGGGTTAGATACACTATTACTTGTGGTTATGCTATTACTCTTCTGTTGTCTTCTCAATGGATACATATTACCGGCTGGTGAGTATCCGTTAAAGTTAGAGCTTAACGGATATTCGCCCCCAATCGAATTACGATATTGGGGAGTTTGTTGTTGTAAATATTGCGGTTGCGACTGTTGGTGTTGCAGGTAATGAGGGTACATCGAGTAATTTGAAGGATAATTAGATTGATAATTGTCAGGTGCTTGATGTTGAAAATTGGAATATTGCAGTTGGGGTAACATGTAATTGTTATACCCTGAAGGTCCCGAATTGTTAGTTGGAGGTCCATTAGCTGAAGGCTGAGACTGTGAGGGTGGAATCGATGCCGAATTTGAATTGCTTTGAAAATTAGAAGTATTGGACGTATTTCCGGATGTGAATGGATTCACGAACGAGAAATCATTTGAAGGCGGCAAACTTGAAGAGTAATGATAATCATCCTTACTTGTCAGGAACGGTGGATGAGATTGGTGGTGCTGGTGTGGTTGGTGGTGCTGATGTGGTTGGTGCTGGTGACGTTGAGGGTGTCCTGGTGGAGGTGGTTGTAACGGAACTGGTAACATATGTAACGGATTGCTATTAGCACCGCTAGTAGAAGTGTTATACTTCGGTGGAATAAGCTGCTGGTGCAGTTGACTTTGAGCTCTAGGCTGAAGTTGAGGTGGAGGGGGTAAAGGTGGCTGTTGCAATAATGACATATTTTGCAATTGATAATTCTTATCCAAGAAATAGTACGCTTCATCTTCAATGGGAATTTTCCCACCCAACAGTGATTCCTTAACTGCATTCCACAAATTATTAGTAATATTCAAATTTTTCAAACTAGTATCTGGAGGCCTTTGCAACTTTCCATTTAATACATCATCAACGTTATAATAACTTATTAAATGAATTGTTTGTTTCTCATCCTTATCGCTAATGTTTAGTTCCTTGGACAGCGTAGTTAGAGACAATGTTTTTTTGATCAACCCCTGGTCCTTAAATACGTACGACGTAACTAATGAGCCAACGAGCTGTTTGTTGTAATCGCCATCAACAAATTCGGCACCCAATGAATTCATCTGTCCCATTGGGTTAGAGTTTAAATGATTTGCACCGTCGGATGAGCTATCTTCTAATTGGGTTACGCTAACTTTACGCCTCTTTTTTTTCTTGTCATCCTTCTCCCCAAGGGAATGTTTATCTAACTCACGGTAAATGAGGAAGCGTCCCAAGATTCTCGACGGTGACCATGCAATGCCATCCGTCCATCTCTTGATGCCCGAGTGCTCTTCGATAAACACAAATACGTTCCCGGATTTGATCAATGACGTCCGCTCCCGTTCGTGTGGTCTTCGATGTACTAACTCCAACTGCTTATCCAATATAGCCTGAATGATCATCAACGCATCCTTGGTTGACCCAACGTACCCGTAGTACGATGGACTAATCTTAGTTGACCCAGGTGTAGAAGAGCTTGACATTTTGAACTATGGTGTACTAGCCTAAAACTTAAGAGAATACGGGCTCTTTTATTGTTTGCCAACCTTGTATTAGCCTGATGTGCTTGTCACTTGCGCCACTCACACAACAACCAACTAGACCCACAGGTATGTCCGCTAAAACTGGACCGTAATTATATATGGATAATGAGCTACCAAACGTTCACTTGGATCTCAATTCCCCAAGAACAATAGATGGAAGTTCGTAAATACTCTTATCCTTTTTTAACTCTCCACAACTAAACTTAGTTCTGAAGAATCTTATTCCTCTGTAATTACTTTGAACTTGTAGTGATTTTGCCAGTGTGTCAATTAACTGTACCACGTATTTTTGTCCAATGTTGGTGGGTGCCACCCGATTATTTTTACAGGGGAAACTCGAACTAATTTAAACTTAATTTTAGAATTAAAATTTCTGCAGGGTGATTAGTTATTTTATTCCCCTAGCTTATAGTTCAACTGTAAAGCTTAATACAGATATATATAGACTTTATATGCACCGTTCTATTTCAATAAAACTATATACTTTAATCCAAATTATAAAGTTTGACCATTTGTTTCAATCTGGCGTACTGGGGTTCAGCTTATTGCACCGCATCTTCCTAGCCTAGTTATTCAGTCACAAAGCGTCTTGCCTCATATACGGAAGGTTGAATAATAGCTTATGTAACTTCATCTCGTATTCAGAGCGTAGACTATATTCGCAAATGTGGTTTGTGTAATCTTATTACGTAGACGGCTATAGTATATTCGTCCCCTTTGAGAATAAGTGCAGGACTAAAGGCGGACTTTTATGTCCCATACGTGGCAATGTGGATCTAGGTTTAGGGGTGCATGGGCCATGTTCCTCTTGGTATGGGGTATAGCTCACGTGATTCCCCACTGTTACCACTGCTTCGGCGTATATTTTACCAACCGTATATTTTGTACCCTAGATGACGTCTGCCTTTGCAAGCATTGGGGTCAGGAAGCTAATCTGGACACACGAGAACCGTAAAGTAAAATTAGACATCTCGAGGACGTGTGACTAAACATACAGCTGGGCATCAACATGTCAAGAAAATATAGCCTAGAGATAGATACCGGATCTATTCAGAAATGGGATGTAGGCCTTGACTTGGATCATTTAGTGGATGTAGAATAATACTAGTGTTTTGTTCTGATGCGGACGGTGGGCCAAAAACTGGTGGGTGGGACGTTCAGGTTCCATCTGATATGGGTGGCCGAGGCGTCGTGTGGCCCATTGGGTTGTTTTGGTCCATTATATAAGCGATATAGCACATTAGTGATGATAGTAGGCTATCTATGTTTATGTGCAGGATTCTGAGCAATTTGGTGTATAGCGATAAAAAGAACCAGATAGCCTTTTTAAAGGAATACTTTGAAAGAGTTTTCATCTAGGGTTCAATTGATTAATGATTAAGACTGAATCGATTGATTTTCATTCGTATTTACCACCCTATAGATCGTTACTAACTCCCAATGCCAGGTATGACTACAAAACGCATACATTGGTCCCCATTAAGGAACATGATCTTCGGGCACTTACATCGATGAATTTGAGAGGCAAACAGACAGCCAGCTCAAAGATCAAGATGAAATATAAATCTTTGCTAAGTGATGTGAGCAAAAGGACTTCGATCTTGTCGTTACGTATAGGGTCCGCGGCGAATGCAAAACAGACCCCTATCGGTGTGAAAAGTTTGCCAAGCGAAGTATTGGAATATATTTTTGAGTTGGTTGATTCAGAAGAGGCCTACATAAATTGTATGTTGGTTTGTAAACAGTTCTACCAGATTTCAAAGCCTTTACTATATGAGGACCTATCTTTTACCTCGACATACCGATTTGCACAGTTCATTACTTATCTAAGAGTGAATCCTGAAGTGGGGCAATACATCAAAGCGGTTGATTTGTCGCAAATTAAGCACGGAGAACCCGATGACTATGAAGACGAAAGCAGGGAGTTGGAGCAAACCCACACCAGTACATCACATGGTGATAATGATACCATAAATTCAGGTACCAGGATTCTAGCTGGCTGGAGAGACTGGAAGTACAAAAATAACCCATTATATTCGATCCAGCCGTGTTTGAATTTGGCAAAGGTTAACTCCAATTCTCAGGCGCTGTCTAAATCATCCAAAACAACAAATTCAATGAAGATGTTGCGACTCTCCAAGACACTTAGCTATTTCAAGCCCAAAAAGCGCCAAAAGCTCAATAGTGCTCCAAATAAGAATAGAGCACACCCCCATTTACACACCTTGAATCTAGGAAATCGAAGGAATAATTCACATCCTCAAATCAATAAGTTTCTAATGAACTATTCCACCTCAAAAGACCTACCAATTGGCTATATTCTTCATTTAATCTCATTATGCCCTAACATTATATCCTTAAACCTAGGAAATTTATCCCTTTCTACTGATTATGAAATTAGTAGATCAATGATGTATAAGTTCAGAACCTTCGATCTCATAGACAATTATCCAAAGGATACAGCGGCTACTATTAATGGAATTATGAATCATAATAATAAATCAATTGAAGAATCTTTGTTCGGCTTCAATCAAGATAAAGAGTCCTTCACGTCGTTATCTATCTTGAATGTAAATGACGCCAAATCTCAACAAATGCAACAACCAAGACAAAATCCTACTTCTTCGGCTTCGTCTGTATATTCAGTTGCATTTTCTAAACCGATTGTCAAATATAATAGTTTATTGCCTCCATTGCCGCCAGCAATCCATGACCTTTCATATATGAATAAAGGCGATGGAAAAGTGTACTTGAGTGATTTGAATTTGAAATCCATAAATAGTAATTACTTGAAAAGATTAAGTGAAAACGAAATTCTTCACGCGATCGCTAAAGCGCATAGCAGTTCGGATGGCCCATATGGGAATAAATTAAAGTACATTAACCTTTCATCAATGATTTGGCTTACCAAAACTTCAGCCCAGAGATTTTTAGATCAAATTGTGAATAAATGTCTATGGGAAGAATCGTACTTCTCAGATGCGGAGACTGTTAATTCAGATTCAGATTCAGAGATAATTGGACAAGACCTAGTCATTGACTTGCGTGATTCTGGTATGTATAAAAATCTTGAATGGGCCAAATTGATCGATCTAAATCAAGCTGAAGGTCGCAGATTAATCAAGAGGATTATAAACGACGATGTGCTCAATACTTTCGATGAATTCATGAGAAGAGAAAGAACAAGAAGAGGAAGGATTGGTGAGAATTACCTCAATTGAAGTTTACGCCCAGTCATTCGTATATCAAACTACAGCTCTATATGTACATTATTTCAGTATTTATTTCAATACCACAATTATATGTCCCAGACATCAGGTCATCACTATTTCATGGGTCGGCCTGTCCTAATTGAAAATTAGCGGCAACCTCGAATAGCAATGGTTTTAAAGCTGGCTGTTTTCATCTAGAAAATTTAAACATACATCTCATATCTGTTAGCTCATTCACTAAAGTGAATATAATGTTAACGCTAAGCTTATCGACACAAGTGTTATTCAAAAATTCACATAGAAGAAAACATTATATTTGTGAAAGATTTTTTGATAATTTTTTTTTTATTCCATAAAACTCATAACCGGGTAACGGGCTTGACCTCATTTTAAAATGGCATACAAAAATATATACGGTACTAATAATCATAAATTTATTCCTCCAGAATCATTTTTCATTTGAGTAAAGAGCCGTGATATGTCAGATCTTTCGGCTCAACTATCTGCTTTCAAAAATAAAATCAGAAGCGGGCCTTCTGTCACTGTTGCCAGAAGGGCAGTTACACCTGCCAAATTAAATGATTCATCCAGCAATACTAATCCCAGTAATGCCTATAATAATAGAAACGGTGTTTCGAACGGAAACCCCAATAAAAGGCCTGGAAGTGATACAATTACTGAAGCTATAAAGAGGCAAAAGGCGTCTACAGGAGGCATGTCGGGATCACATTTATCAACGCAATTACATTTAGCTGTTGAATATATTAAGCAGCACGATTTTCCTATCACAGTATCGAAGTTGCAGAACTATCTTTCGTTTGACATAAGTGCCACATTGCTTCCATTGTTGAAGGAGATCGATCGTATAAAATTTAATCCCGAAGATAATACATTGGAATATGTCTCGTTGCACAATATTAGGTCTTCGGATGACTTGTTGAATTTCTTAAGATCGCAGCCAACTTTCAGAGGTATATCCGTTAAGGAGTTAAAGGATGGATGGGCTGGATGTCTGCAGGCCATCAATGAGTTGGAAGAACAGAGTAAAATTTTGGTTTTAAGAAATAAAAAGGAGAATACCCCCAGACTTGTGTGGGCAAATCTTGGAGGAGAAATGGGTTTAATTGACGATGAGTTTTGTGACATGTGGTCTAATGTCAAATTGCCTGAACCGGATAGCTTGTATCAAGCATTAATAGATCAAGGTTTAAAACCTACCGGAGCCGATCCTCAGTCAATTAAAAAGAAGCCGCAACAACAAGAAAAGAAACAAAAGAAAGCAAGAAGAGGTAAGGTTACCAACACACATATGAAAGGCATATTGAAGGACTACTCGGAATTAGTATGATAGATTAGTTAAAAATCATCTATATAATTTTAATATATCATTTTACTGAATCGCGTGTAAATTTGAGTACATCATATAGTAGAAAATTCTTGAGGAATTTAACTAAATAACAAGATTACAACTACTAGTCTTATAAAACTACAATCGCATATAAAGAACAAGATGTCCGGTATGTATTCGGATAAGCCGTATAATTAAGTATTTATTTGAATATTACTATTTAAATTTTACAATAATATTTTGGACAATTAGGCAGTTACGATCTTTCACAGTTCTAGTTTGGCCATCATATACTTGAATACAAGTATTATCGGCTACGTACTTTAGATAGAATACTAACTGGGACCATTAGTTGATTTTAACACTGTTGCTACCGAGTTCTGTAACTTTTACTACCAACAATTCGATTCGGATAGAACCCAATTGGGTAACTTATACAGAGAGCAATCCATGTTAACATTTGAAACTTCCCAATTACAAGGTGCTAAGGACATTGTTGAAAAGTTAGTTTCTTTACCTTTCCAAAAAGTTGCACACAGAATTTCTACATTAGATGCTCAACCAGGTTCGCCAAATGGTGACATTTTAGTTATGGTTACTGGAGAATTAATAATTGACGATGAACAAAACGCTCAACGTTACTCCCAGGTGTTCCACCTCATCCCTGATGGGAACTCGTATTATGTCTTTAATGATATCTTCAGATTAAACTACTCTTAATTTGGATCCACAGTACTTCTTGCAAACGTGCAATTATGAGTGGTCACATTTGAATATAATAAAGAATAAATACTAAATAAATAATAATTCATTTGAAGTAGCTATTGTTTTACTTATGTAGTTTAGTCCAATCATTCTAAATTGTGAATCAATCAATTTATTGTTTTTATAGCGCACTCTAAACTTTTCTCCTGAAACTTATGCTAAATTTATATACTAAAACCTGAAGTACCCAATTTTAAATAAGTATGCTGGATTCAACTTCAACGCCATCTATTCCCAGAAGACCAAAAAAACAATCGCAGGTTGATTTACCTAATGACCTGGAAGGTTTTGATAGGTCTGATACTGAATCTGATAATGAGCAAATGGTAAGTTTAGAATCGTTGAAATCTAACGAAGCAAGCGATAAGATTCCAGTGATTCCAAAAAGGCCAGATAGATCAAAATCTTCGTCAAAAAGCCCTAGTTTACCGGCTATTCCTAAAAGGCCTCAAAAGTCCGTCACGTCTGGTGTGGAGGCATCAAGTTCACTGGATTTACCTGTAATGGGAAACGAAGAAGAAGACCACAAAAGCATATATGACGAGTCAATAAGTTCGAAGCATGCTGATGATGCAATTGAACCATCTAAAAGCTCTGAAGTAGGCACTAGATCTGACGTCGATGTTTCCGATGGAGATAAAACTCCCGGTAGTACTAATACTAAGACTACTATTAAAGAGAATCTCAACATAGCTGATAATAATTCTATGCATAGCTTTGTTGATGATTTAGAAACCGTTCTGCAAGATCGAGATAACAATGATTCATCGGCTATTGGCCCCGAAATATGTCAAGATAGTAATTTACCATCTTCGGGTGAAAGTGATATGAATGCCAAACTTGGTGAAGAATATACTGATCCTGATTCGAACAGTCAAAAAGCTTGCGGGAACAGGGATAAGGAAAATGATAAACTCTCTACAGAAGGTAGCGAGAGAAACCGTAATGAAAGAGATATTCAGTCGAATTACAGTGAAGAACCTCAAAAGACGATAGAAAAAGATCAAGAAGTATCTAATACACCAAAAGTAACCGATGAAAAAGCATCTGAGGACAAAGATTCTGGTAATGTTCCTCACATTCCAAGAAGACCGAAGAAGTCAAAACCCGCTACGAGCGAACCTGATGCTAAGTCAATTGGAGGGGAAATTTTAGACAATATTAATATAATTGATCAAAAGCAGACGCAGGTTGATAATAAATACAATAATGAAGAGGTCTCCTCGATAAATGAAACTTCTCATAGTAAGTCTGAGACTCCCCAACCAGAAAAAAATACGACCAAGCCGAAAGCTCCTCCAAAACCTAAGAAGTTATCATCAAAAATAGCTGCGTTTCAACAAATGTTTAATCAGGAAACTTCACCTCCAAAAAACTCCGAAACTAATAAATCGACCTCGAAGCCAGATTTAGAAACAAAAACCTCTGAGAATAAGGAAGTTCCATCAAGGTTATCGACTGATAAAATGAAATTCGCTCAAAGTTTACAAGGCATGATGGGTAAAGGAATAGCTATGCCTGGTATGGTCAACCCCAACGTTCACCAGAAGATAGATACTGAAGAGATTGAGTCACCCGATAAAGAGGTGAAAATTCTGAATGTGAAAAGGGGTATTGCAAAAGGGCCAAGAGGTAAAAAGTTACCAAAATCTTTAAAGAATCCTGTCAAAGTTGAAGTTGTCCCTAGATTTAATTCTTTTATTCTGACTATATGGGAATTAGATTTTCAATCAGACAGTAAATCGAATGATAAGGAGGGTAGTGAAGATGTATCCAATAATACAGAAACACAAAAACTGGGGAATATTGCAGAAATGGAGAATAAGTCTGATCATATTATGGATAGTGAATCTATATCGAACTCTACACCACCATCAAACACTGAAGAAGAGCCAACCCCTTTAAAGATTGATCATGATGATATGTGTCTGGAAATTGACAAACTTACAACTACTCACCGTGAACTAAAGAGCTTAGAAAGCATAGATAGTACCGAAGAGTCTAGAGATACAGATGCCGAAAAAATGCATGAGGAAATCAAACCTGATAATGATCCTGCAGCATCATATCCAAACAAGCTGGAAGATTTGGATTTAGATTTGGATAATAATGAGCAACAAATACTTGAGAACCAAGACCTGGGTCTAAATCTAAAAGAGTATTAAAGTTATTTTGAGAATAACCCTCTGTGTAACTGTTTATTTACATATCATGTTAAGACTTTATCTACTTATTTTAGGTAGTTTATTTTTTAAATACATATTTATCTTCGTATTTTCAATCTTTCCCCTTTTTCATCGCAATCTGTATATCTGCGCTTATAGCCAAAACTATCCTTACTGTCATTTTTTGAAGTGTTATCATTACCCTTGTGATCATTATTTTTCAAGGTGTTCCCATAACTTGTATGTGAAGTGTTACTTCTATTATGATCCAACCTTGTATGTTTTCTGGCTGTCATCGGAGCATTTAATAATTTGTCTCGAAGCTCATTCACTTTCTTCTCTATTGTAAGTTCTTCCTCACTTTCATCTTCTAAAGCATCTCTCAACTCCATACACTTAACCTCAACATCTCTTTTTAAGTCATGACTCCTTATTTCTTGCTTTGCTTCATCTCGATTATTTCTGGTAGATATGTGTTTATCGTATTTAAGCTTCCGGTCCTTTGATAATTGTCGCCTTTTAAAGTGGCCAGATTTATCGTCGTTTATGTTGGCATGATCTTTATTAGAGGCAACATTCTTTTGTATATGTCCAGTCGTGCCTGAACCTCTTGCAGTTTGTAAACCTATTCCATTGCTTGACATGTTTATTTACCACTCATAATTACGTCTCAGCCTTCAAAATTGTTCTATAAATAATCGCGTTTGAGGGAAAAAAAAAATCGTCCATAAATTACGACCGTATTTATTGTTCTAATAAGTCATTCATGTATTTGTTATTCTAACAAGTTATACGACATATTTTTAGCAAGTTATACTATGTTCGCTACAAGGATGCCAAGAGGAAAGCTTAGGCTTATTGGTGTATTACTTTTGATAGTAGTACTCTTTTTTACAGCTCAACAAGCGTCAAAAGACAAGTATAAATCCTTGAGTGACGCATTTACGAAGGTAGAGCAATATTCACCTTTTAATTCACAGAAGAATAACAAAGTGCATCAGGAATTAGACGTAAAACCAAAGATAGAAGATTATAAGGAAAGTCCTGAACATGAATTTTGGGAGAAGATATTCGTTATTTTAAATAAGGGCAAGGCTGATATTCCGCAGGATCAAAGGGCCTCAGCCATCCAGTATATTGAAAAATCAAAACAAAAGAAAGGTCAAAACACCAAAGATGTATTGCTTTCTAAAGCATATGTTTCCGATGAAGTGATAATGGAATTTCAAAAGAGGCACAAAATTGTTTTGGATGAATTACCATCAAACCTCGAAGCTACCTATAAACCAAATACGAACGGAATTGTTTTTGTCGGGGGTGGAAGATTCTCATGGTTAACATATTTGTCACTCTTGAATTTACGGGCCACGGGGTCTGAAGTTCCGGTAGAAGTTATGATGCCGACGTATAATGATTATGAATTAGAATTAGAATTCTGCTCCGTAATACTTCCTAAATTGAACGCTGCTTGTGTTGTGGTTCCAGATAGCTTAGGTTCGGCCGTTATGCTTTCTTGGACTAAAAAGTTTAAATCATACCAATTTAAGTCTTTAGCGTTAATGACTTCGTCCTTTCAGAATATTTTATTATTAGATTCAGACAATATTCTTATCCAAAATCCCGACTCAATTTTCGAGAGTGATTTATTTAAAGAATATGGTATGATAATGTGGCCAGACTATTGGAGACGTACAACCTCTCCGGTTTTTTATGATGTGGCAGGTGTTAAAATTAACGAAAGAAAGAGAGTTAGATCCAGTCGATTTTCATTAAATGTGGATAAATCTGAAGCAAATTTGAATAATAATGAAATGCATGCGGTTCCTTATCATGATTTAGAAGGAGCTGTGCCAGACTTATCTACTGAATCTGGACAATTATTTATTAATAAAGCCACTCATGGTAAAACATTGCTATTATCACTATACTATAATATTTATGGTCCAGATCAGTTTTATAAATTGCTTTCTTTAGGCGCGCCAGGTGAAGGTGACAAGGATACTTTTGCTACTGCTGCAACTGTCTTGCATCAAAAGTTTTATCAAATAAAGTCTCATATCAAAACTATCGGATACTTTGAGAATGGAAATTTTCAAGGGGTTGCGATGGGACAAAAAAATCCAGTGAAGGATTACGAGCTTTTCAAGAGCAAGTTTTATGAACCTATAATGAAAGAAGAAAATAAAAACAAGCCTGTCAACGACCAAATAAGTATGATAGAAAAATTAATGAAGGATAATCCACTCAACTCTGACAAAATTCCTGTGTTTGCAATGCATTGTAACTTTCCAAAATTGGATCCATTGGATTTAATAAGAAGGGATAGTATTTATGATAAGGACAAAAATCAATTAAAATATAAGCTCTATAATGGATTTTCCTTCAGAAGAACAGATAACAAAAACGAACCAAAAATTGATTTTGAATTGCAGCAATGGAAGAACATCCAAAATGTTATATGCAAAGAAAAGCTTTATTTTGCGCATTTCAGCCAGGTTGATAATAATGAATTGTGCAAGTTTGTTGATAATCAGGTAAAATGGTTATCCAAGTAGATCTACAAACTGAATCTTATAATTTCGTCTTTAACTCAAAGTACACTCACGTTATACAATAAATTACAATAACTAATAGTCTTGAAAGTTTACGAACAGATTAATAATTTTATAGTAAGGTATATGATTATCGCAACACCAGGGTTCACTTTTTTTCTTTTGAAGCCACATTTCTAAAGGTGAAATCATTTCAATATTCAATTTTTAAAATTTCAATATTCAATTTTTAAACAATTTAATCAATGTTACAATAAATAATTTACTTAATCTCTATATAAATTCTGTATTTTAGGAGCTCCAAAGGCCCTTTATATAGTGCAAAATTTATTCTGACTTTTCATAAAATAGAATATTTCAACTTCTCTCTAAACAACAGAATAATCCATAGAGCTTCTTAACAGCCTCGGCAAATGCTAGATAGTCAGATTCAGTGGTCCACATGGCCACTGTAGACTGTTTCTTACTTTTCCATGAGATTGGGGCTCCTCTAAACTTAACAATGTATCCTGTGATGATTTCCTGTCATTCTTGTCACTAGCCCAGTCACTGCCTCAGTATCTATCTAATGAGCTGTCTCCGTTATAATGGTGGCCGATATCTTGGGTTCCTTTAAGATATCTGAGGACATGTTTGGCACACTTCATATGCATTTCAGGGGGCTTATCTAAGTGTTGTTGAAGTAAATTCTCAAAAGTAGCATACATTGTCATTGTCAGTATCAGGTTCAGCTAACAGTTAATCAGTTTATCAGTGTTAATTATAATATATAATTTACTTAATCTCTATATAAGTTCTGTATTTTAGGAGGTCCAAAGACCTCTTTATATAGTCCAGAGTTCCCATAAGAATAGGATTACTTCTCCGATGTTTCCAAACTTACATCCAATGAGAAGACACATTCATGAGAACATAAGGCTTATGCAAAAGCCTGTTGTCGGAGATGGAAATTATCCAATGATAGCTTGTATATAAGGCAAATGTGCTCTTCATGGTATAACAATGAAGAGTCAGCATTCTGGTTTTGCCCTCATATATGTATAATTTACAGTCGCTTTATATAATTTCTCAATTTATTCTGACTTCTCATAAAATAGAATTTCAACATCTCCCCGTAATCCTAATTCTTGCATTCCAGCAGGTTGTCAAGTTCTGGAACTATATTTTATTCAATCCTTTTGTAAGCATATCTGCAGTTTGTCAATGGGTGTCAATCTGACAGAGTTTAATTTCGTTTCTTATTATATGCTCTCTTATGAAATGATGGCGTATATCTCTTGAAGTAAATTCTCTAAAGGTGAACTCATTTCAGTATTCATTTCTTGAAGTAATTTCTCTAAAGGGAAACTCATTTCAGTATTCATTTTTATCTTTTTCAATTTTTACTCAATATAACAGTTTTACACAATAATCAATAATCAATATTCAATAATATCAAATATATATTACTTACTATCTAAAATACAATCTGAATACCTTTCAGATTGACATTCTTATATAGCAGAATATTGGGATTACTTAATTAGGCTCTTTACCATTAATAGTAATTAATTTTCTCAGGATAATTAAAGTTCATTACTCAAAC